CTCAGCACCAAACGCAAGGCCTTAGGCCAAGATTGGGAGCATTGACTTATCTATGGATGGATAATCTTGGTGGGGGTGCGTGACACCTGCCATGGGCCTATAGAATGGGGCTGTGCAAACCCACAGGATAATCATCTTGATCAAGGCACTGCCTCACCTCGTCCCTGCAGGGTCCCTGAGAGGGAGGCACTGGTATTATTACAACTGCATTCCCATTTCACAGATGAGAGGATGCAGGCACAAAGAGCAGAACTGAGAGCAGATCCCAGCTGTCCACCCCAGTGAATACCCTTACATAATTCCACGGACCACCCACATCCATCTGGAGATCTTGAGATGGGAGAGGAGGCCCCCATCTCTAGCAACCCAGGTTGTAAGAGAAATTGAAGCCCATAGGATGGCGCTAGGCCATGAGGAGGAAGAAGGTGCAAGAGAAGGCAGGCAGCCCAGGCAGGGCGGGGCCACCCCGTTAATGATTCAGTTAATAATTTCTGCTCCCAGTTCCTTATCCGGGAGGGCAAAGTCCGAGGGCAGCAGCCAATCAGCAGCCCCACTGGGCCATTACCCAGCAGCCTCTGCAGCCAGGGCCCTCCTGTCCCGTAACCCCTTGGGAGTTGGGGAATGGGGGACCAGTCCCCAGGGAAGAGACTATTCTGTGCTCACAATCCCTCCTTGGCTCTGCTTAAAACCCTAAGGGGTACTCTTGTCTAGCCCCTCAGACACAGGAGAGGCCAATGGGTTGGTAACAACCCGCTCCTCACCTCTGCATTGACCCCAGGCCTCCCAGAGAGGTGCTTCCCGGGTGCTTCCCGGGGCTCACCCCCAACCTGCCACCTCTGTTCACAGATCTATTGTTGTCTCCATTGACCCTGAGAACACTTCCTGCCTGCCCCTGCTGTGTGGGCCTGCATTGAGTGTCCAGGACATGACATGAGTCAGACCCCCCACTATCATCTCCCCTCCCACATGGGCCTAGCTCCATGGACTGGGGCTGGGACAGGAGTCCTGCAGGGGTTCTCACCTCATCTCCCTGGGGGATAGGCTCAGCAAACCCTGTACCTGGCTGCCTCTGCCATCTGTCTACTCCCTGCATATATCACAGACAGACAGCCTGAGCTAGGGCACAGTGCCACCCCCATCACACAACCTAGCTTAACCCCAGGCTCCTGGTGGGGGGTGAGGGTCCTCTCTTAAGTCTTCAGGCTGGTTTCTGGGGCTTCCTCCCACCCTTCCAAGGCAGTGATGCTCATCCCTGACAGGTGGCCCCCAATCCCTGCCCCAAAGCCCCATGGCAGAACAGAGAGCTGGGGGCTGGGTGCCCATTCTGGTCATCTTTGACCAACTCACTCTCTTCTCTTGGCACCTTAGCCAGTGCCATCCGACTCACCCACCCCACAGCTGGAAGAAGGGCAGCTTCCAAAGGTTCCTGGCTCTCTGGGGGCTGTGGGGAGCCCAGCCCCATTTTGTCTACTGTATCTGTCTAATCGAGAGGTCATGAGTTTGGCTTTGTTTGATTGATGACTTTAAAAAGTCACACTGGAAGCCCCCTACTCTGGTCCAACTCACCTGCATACCCTAGGAGGGGAAATGAGGTCAGAGAAGAAATTCACCAGGCCAGGCCACCCATCAGGTTCATAAGGCACAAGATCCCAGACCTCCCGCTCCAACTCTGGTGAGCGGCTCTAGAAGCCAAGTAGAAGCCCCCCAGACTCTCAGTGGCCTTTCCAGCACCTGCTGGTAGCCCACTTCCCTCCACACCCACTTGCTTTCTGAGGGCACTATCTGCTCACTTGAGCCTCATGTGCCCCTAGAATCAGGGCCAGCACCACCTCTTCAAGGCTCAGCTGTTCATACTAAAATGTCCCAGGGCTGGGAAGTGAGGCTCTTTTTTTTTTTTTTTTTTTTTTTGAGACAGAGCCTCAAGCTATCCCCCTGGGTAGAGTGCCATGGCATCATGCTCACAGCAACCTCCAACTCCTGGGCTCAAGCGAGTCTCCTGCCTCAGCCTCCCAAGTAGCTGGGACTACAGGCGCCCGCCACAACGCCTGGCCATTTTTTGGTTGCAGCCATCGTTGTTTGGCGGGCCCGGGCTGGGGATTCGAACCACCACCTTAGATGTATGTGGCTGGCGCCTTAGCCGCTTGAGCCACAGGCGCCGAGCCGGAAGTGAGGCTCTTAAGAACTGAAGGCATCATGGAAGTGCCACCCCCTCCTGTCTTGCAGGTAATGAAAATGGGCTCAAAGAGGGTAAGGGCTCTCTGGGGTGTCTTTGGGGTACACACAGGGTCATCCAGCTATCAGTGGGTGAGCCCTCACCAGAACCTCTAGGATCCTGGGAGGATCCTCAGATGCTGCCCACACTATCCTTAACCTGGCTCTAGGAGTCAGAGGCCCCAGCCAATCAGGTGATGAGAAATATACCCCACTGTGATCTGGTTACCTGCTGGGAGCCAGTGCATCCTGCCTGGTAGGTCCTCTCTCTGCAGGCCCTGTGCCCGCCGATCTGGGCTGCCTTGCCTCTCTCCAGGGGATTAGCCAGGCAGTCACGGGGGCCCGGCTGTACCAGCCTCGAGGGGGCCGCCCTGTCCCGGCCTCCCACCCGAGGCCCAAAGCGCCTTAGCCCCAAGCCCACCACTAGCACAGGGCAGGACCCAAGACCTATGTCTGTGCCTAGGGAGGGGGCACCAAGTCAGGTGAAGGGTCTTGGAGGGCTGCTTGCCCTTCAGCAAAACCCTTGCCCAGTCTCCCAGCCCAGAGTCAAAGCACAAACCCTTCCACACACTGTCCAAAGGGAGGGACCATGGCCAGGTAGGGACCAGAATGAGAATGCAGGTGTCCCCCACCCTGAGTGTGAGAGCCCACATTGTGCCCACACACTCAGGAGTGACTTATCCACACGCAGGAGAGCACAGCTTTCCACTCCCTTGTGCTGGCACACTTGCACTCAAGAGCATACTAGGCCTGTGGCTCCCAGGTGCTCCCTCACACCCACACAGGGTCGCCCACACTCTGTCGCCCACCCATACCTTCCCCCATTTCAGGCTCTGGGAGCACTTCCCCAGCCCAGCCCTCCTGGGCGGGCAGCCCACTCCCGCCCCAGCTCCCCACAGACATTCTTGAGTCTCCTCTTATCTCTCTGGAGGGAGCAGCACAGCCTCCCCACCAGGCTGCATGGCTGAGCTGTGGCGTCAGCTCCTGCAGCACCCCCCACCAATAGCCAAGAGAGAAGGTTTGGCTCAGAAGGCAAGGAGGGAGCCCAAGCCAGCCAGGCCCACCCCTCTGCCCTAGACCTCAGGAATCAGGGCAGCCTGGCCCATGGATCATCCAGGTACCTAGCAGGCTTGGGCACCCCAAAACAGTGTCTCCTTTCCTCTTTCCTGGGGGCCCCAAGCCTCATAAGATCCCTTGGGAGCTCCAAAAGGTTAAAGAGTGTCTGGGGAGAATGGAAGCCCCTGGGACTGATAGGGGCTGCCTCAGGATCAACCATTTGATCTAGCCCAAGCATAGTGTCTTAGGGCCTGGGTCTTTTGGGGTGTCCAGAATCCTGAAGTGGGCTGGCCTGGGGCTTGGGGATGCTGTTCCCTAAGCTACTCAGAAAGCAGAAGTAGACATGTGTTCCTGCCACCCCCAAATCATGGAGAGAGAAACTGAGGCAGAGAAAGGCCTTTCTCTGTCCTCCATGGAGCTCCAAAGGGATCTGGGGACTGGGCTTGAAACTTGGGTCCACACTTATAAAAGGTTCTGAATGCTCTGAGCAGCAGGGTGTGGCTTAGGGATGGTGGGGAGCAGGGGCTGGGCCCCACGAAGTTGGTAGAGAGGGGCACAAAAGGGGCTAGAGAGTCTAGCTAGATGTTCTAGGGTGGTTCTGAGAAGCAGAGTGGGCTGGGAGACATCAGCTTCCACCTCCCCTCTCTTCCCCTCCCACACCCTGTCCCATCCTTCCAGAATCCAGCACTCAGGGAGAAAGGGTGGCCCTGGAGGAGGGGCAGGGAGCTGCTTAGGAAAAGGGGGGAGACTGGTGAGATGCAGAAGTAGACCTCCAAGACCAATTTGGGGGTGAGGTGGAAGAAAATATTGTGAGGTGTGCATAGATCCCACCCCAAGGAGGGTCCTTTCAGGGTCAAGGGGAGAAGGTGAGATCAGGGACAAGGTCAGAGGAGACATAACTGCAGGGACAGGTGTGGAGGTACATAACAGGATTGGTGGGATATGGTTCCTAGCACTGGGAGGGTCTCAGAGAGCAGATGGTGGCTGGTGGCAGGAATGCCAGCTTCAAAAATGTTCCAAGCAGGACAGTGTGCTAAGGAGGGCGGTCCCAGCGCCAAGTTGGGGATGAGTGGCTGCTTCATGGGGGATTTCAGCCTTGGGAGAGGGGGCAGCATTTCGAAAGGCAGGTGACAGTCTGGGAAGGAGTCCCAATCTCAGGGCCCTAGCCTCCTGGAGGTCCCCAGTTACTAGGAGTAAAACCCAGTTAGAAGAAGTCAGGTGGGGGTTTCTGGTCTCTAGGCGGGGTGGGGGCGGTCACACTGTGGGAGGCAGACTAGGTGCCAGCCTCAAGAGATATAGAAGATCCTAGAAGGTCTGGTAGGGGTGGGTTCTGGCCTGCAGGGAGTTCCAGGGAAGTACAGTAGAGAGTCCCCAGACTAGGGAAGTGTTCTGGAGGTCGAGGAGTCACTGGAGTCAATTTAGGGAAGACTCCAGGTCTTGGAGAATTCAGGGAGGTGTGAACCTGAAAGGGAACACAGCCCCAAGGAAGCTTCCAGATGAGGGGCAGGGAGGGGACACCCAACTTCAGTGGTGGTGGGCAGCAGCCTCAGGCAGACTCCAGATCTTAGGAGCCAAGCACAGCAGGCTGGTGCCAGCCCAGAAAAGGGCCTCAGCCAGAGCAGGCTATGGGAGTCCCGACGTGATGGGAACACAGCAAGGGTCCCAGCCCCGGGAGATCGGCTAGGGGTTTCTAGCGCAAGAAGGTCGCCGCCCGTGCTGGCCCGGTCTCTCACCTTCGAAGAAGCGCTGCAGCGCCTCGGTCTCGTCCACCACCTCCATATCCGGCCTGCCCGGCGCGCACTCCGGCCGCGGCCCCGCTACAGCCCGGCCCGGGGGCGCGGCATCGCCGGCGCGGCCCGCGCGACAGTCCCGGCTCCGCTCCGGCTACGGTCCCGCCCGGTCCGCAGCCGCGCTTGCCCCCCACGCAGCTCTGGCCCGGCCCCTGTTCTCCCTGAGCGCCCCGCCCGCTGCGCCTAGCGCCCCCTGCTGGCTCTCAGTGGGCAGGACGCGCGCGGCTCCTACGGGCGACGCTGGGCGCCGGGTTAGTCCCCGGCGGGCAGAGGAGCTCAGGGATCCCGGCCTGGGCGGCGGGGTCAGGTTTGCGGTGGGCTGGGTGGGGCTGAGGTCAGAGGCCACACCTGTCCCAACTGTCCTTGGTCTCCCGGGATTCAGAACCTAAACCGCAGAGACATCCCCTGATTCCTCTATCTCAGCAGTGATAAAATCTGCGTTTAATTAGCATGTTATGTGCCAGGCCTGCACTAAGCACTTTATAGGCACTGTCTCGTTTAACACTCTACCAAGGTGATACTATTCCTGCAGACAAGGAAACTGAGGCTTAATGAGGATCAGTGCTGTTTGAGGATGTGCTGTCCTATAGAACTTTCTGTGATGACCGAGATGTTCTATGTGTCGTCCACTATGGTAGCCACTAGCCTTAAGTGAGCACCTGAAATGGGGTTACTGAGATGGAGGAATGGGCTTGTCAATTTCTCTTTTTTTTTTCTTCTGAGACAGAGTCTCACTTTCTTGCCCCCAGTAGAGTGCAGTGGTGTCATAGCTCACAGCAACCTCAAACTCTTGGGTTCAAGTGATCCTCTTGCCTCAGCCTCCCAAGTAGCTGGGCCTACAAGCGCCCACCACAATGCCCAGCTATTTTTAGAGATGGGGGTCTCACACTTGCTTGGGCTGGTCTTGAACTTGTGAGCTCAAGCAATCTACCTGCCTCAGCCTCCCACAGTGCTGGGATTACTGGTATGAGCCACACCTGGCTTCTTTTATTTAATTTTAATTAGTTCTAATTTAGGCCCGTCATGGTGGCTCATGCCTGTAATCCCAGCACTTCACGAGGCTAAGGTGGGAGGATTGCTTGAAGTTAGTTCTAGACTCTGGAGCTTGAGCAATCTCAGCCTCCCAGAGTTCTAGGATTACAGGTGTGAGCCACAGTGCCTGGCCCTACCTGGGTATCACATAACACATATTTACTTTGCTTCAAGTACTAGCCTTCTTGCTTTAGAATGGAAACCCTAGGAGGGCAAGAGATTTTTCTGTCTTAGTCACTGCTCTAGCTTCCACACCAAGAACATTACCTGGCACACAGTAGGTGCTCAATAAATGTGTGTTGAATGAATGGATCATGGCATCTTCAAACTAGAGAATATTGGACCTTTGAAACCTAGGGAGCAGAGAATTCTGGACTACCAGACCCAGAGAATCATTCCACTACGGAGCTGCTCAATTTGAATAAAGCCTCTTAGGACCCTTTAACACAATGAGTTGGAGTTGGAAGAACTTATACCACCCCACCACTATTTGGCAAGTGACAAAACTGAGGCCCAGAAAGGGAGAGACTTTCTAGAAGATCAAGATGACAACCTAGCCATCCTAGAACTTTCAACTCTGCTTGCAGTGGCCCCCAGAGGAGGGTGAAGATGGAAGTGAGAGCCCTCAAAGCTGCTCCCACCCCCAGCCTCCTTCTCAGCCCCTCAGTGGCCAAGCATGGGGGAGGGGCAGCTGGTGCCTGAGCCCCAGATGTGGTCCAGTCAGCAGGCCTGCCATGGCCGAGGAGGGTCAATGCCACAACAGTTCTGGAGTTGGGGGAGGGAGTGCTCAGGCCGGCGGGTACCTCACAATGAGGTTTTGTCTCTCTGGGGGCCGCTCTCAGAGCTGTTGCTCTTAGATATATAGGATGGGATTTTGCTGGCGGCCCCAGCTGTGTGCACTGACCATGTTCCCCCACCACTCTTGCAGGGGATGGGCAGGGGGGAAGAGAGGGGCTAAACTGAGACGCCTATTCTTCCCCAGCTGATACACCCCAGAGGTTTCTCTCCCTCTGCAGACTCCCTTAAGACAATTGTTATTCTCCGTTCTGCTCCCTCCTTCCACTAGGGTCAGGCCTGCCTGTGGACAAAGTAGACACCCACCTACACCATTCAATCTTTTTTGTTTTTTTGTTTTTTTTGAGATAGAGCTTCAAGCTGTCATCCTGGGTAGAGCACGGTGGCATCACAGCTCACAGCAACCTCCAACTCCTGGGCTCAAGTGATTCTCCTGCCTCCGCCTCCCAAGTAGCTGGGAATATAGGCACCCGCCACAATACCTGGCTATTTTTTGTTTGCAGCCGTCATTGTTGTTTGGCGGGCCAGGGCTGGATTCAAACCTGTCAGCTCAGGTGTATGTGGTTGGCGCCTTAGCCGCTTGAGCCACAGGCACCGAGCCACCATTCAATCTTTTGAAGTGAATTTATTTTATGAGTTTTCTCACACCAGGGGGAAAACCAGCTTCTCTACAGGCCTCCACTGCCCTCAGGTCTTTCCTCCACATCCCACATGGTACCTTCACATCTACCATCTGAGGGCCATCAAAGGACTTAACACCATTCTTGTCCTGCTCATCAAGGGCTAGGGTGGAAGGGAAGACACGCATTTTGTCCTGAATACCCCAACACCATCGTATTATAATCTATTAAGAGGACAGTCACTGGGGTAGCCTTGAAGTTGGATGGGGTGGGATGGAGCCTCCTGTTAATCCCATAGGAGTGATTCCACTAGGTCACTGAGCAAAAAAGTAACTGTACCCAGGGGTTTCATCTCTGGACGGGGGGAAGAGGTGGCTGAAACTTCCCAGATCAAGGGCGGAGAGAGGAGTCGAGGCTGCCTGCCAATTACATGATGAGGTTAGGGCCCAAGCACAGCAGGGCTAGGGCAGTGGCAGGGCTGGTGAAGGGGGCTGCATACAAGGGTCTGGAGTGCTCCCATCCATGAAGATGAACATCTACTGCACCCCAGCTTCCCCCACCAAGCCACAATGAGTGAAGAGTCACAACTTTAGCCTAGACCAACAGACGTGGCTATAATCCCTTGGGGCCAGCTCAGCCCATTCTCAGACCTGCCCTCTCTCTTCGGAGGCCCCACCTGTGAAGCACGGCCCATTGTCCACCGCCCTGCCCCCAATATAGATGAAATGCAGGGAAGTGACTAGTGAATGGTGTTCTTTCCACCTCTGGTCAGTTCCCAGCAGCCCTTGCTGGCCCCACAGTGGTGGCAGGCCAGGAGGAGATGGGGGACAGAGGGTGGCACTGGGGAGAGGGCTCAGGGACCTGAGGGTTTATGAGTAATGAGCATGGAGGCCAGCCCAGAAGGAGGTGGTGCCCTGGCCTCTGCACCCCAGGACTTCTGGCCTTCTGTGAGTCCATATAACTGCAATACTGGCCCATTTCACAGAGGAAGAGAGAAGGCCCAAAGAGGGGTGAGTGTGAACCCAATCAGCCAGAGAGGCCAGGGTGCGGTTTCCCTGGCCTGGGGTGCAAGAGGCCTACCTGGCAGCTGGCCACCTATAGCATAGACCTCCCTCCCAGACTGCAGGAGCTCAGAGACAGGACAAGATAGGACAGGAGATGATCCCCCCTCAACTCCCCTGGTCCTGAGTAGGGCCAGGAAGTCAGAGTGGCACTCCAGCCCTGCCCAGCACCTTGTGAGGGTCCCTCCTCTGGGCAAGCGCAGAATCCTCCCACCCTGTTTCTTCTCCTGCTGCACTAACTGAACAGGATAATTTCCAGACCAGTGAGACCACATGGTGGGAAGAACTTCTGAAAACCACTGCGTGAGGTGAGGGTGGCCGGGAAGCATAGATCCAGGTCCCTGGTCTGTGTCACTTTCTGCAGTTCTCTATCCTTACACGGCCTTGGTTTCCTCTTCTGTTCAGAGGCGGTGAGTGAAAACAGGCTCTGAGGCCTAGAACTCACTTCTAACACCCTCCCCAACTCCTCACCAAGTAGAGCCACTCTAGACTTCAGGGGGCAGGCAGGTTGGGTAAGAGGAAGGTCAGTCACATTTAATGGAATCAGCTTCAAGACCAGACTCAGCAGCCAAGGAGGGGTTGGCTGGAGGAACAGCGCCACCTGCTGCACAGAAGGTGTGGGCCCAGGCAGGGCGCCAACTGCCTGCCTGCTCACCCTGGGCCTTTCCGTCACTCTCCGGGCCTCCCCGGCCTGGAGGCAAGCTGGACTGGGGATCCTAGGATGCCCTGGGCCTGGCCACATATTCTGTGCCCTCCTAGGCAAGTCCTCAGCAAGGATTTATAGTGGTCTCTGAATTTCAGGGCTACCTTGCTGAGATCCTCCACCCAGCCTGTCCTACCTACAGGCTGCTCTGGACATGGTCAGACCTGCCTGGCACTCCAAACTCTGGCTCTCCGGTCTTGGGCAGCCTACCCTCTCTGAGCCTCAGACCTTTCAGGAGGGAAAATGAGACTAACAAACTATCGCTTTCAGGGCTGTGATGATGTGGTGAACACACATCCCCTGGTACATCTCTCATGAGGGCAGGACTCCACAGTGGCTGCTGTTATGCACATGGGGCTCTGAGGGTCTTCTGCTCCCCCACTGAAACTCAAAGCATGGTCTTGAGCCCATCACTGGTCATGATTCTTGGCTGGGCCCAGTGCCTTATGTCTGTAATCCTAGCACTCTGGGAGGCCGAGGTGGGAGGATAGCTTGAGGCCAGGAGTTCAAGACCAGCTTAAGCAAGATTAAGATCTACTTTCTACTAGAAATAGAAAAATTATTGGGGTGTGGTTGTGAATGCCTGTAGTCCCAGCTACGTGGGTAGCTAAGGACCACTTGAGCTTGGGAGTTTGAGGTTGGAGTGAGCTATGATGATGCCACTACACTCCAGCCCAGGTGACAGAGCCGTCTTTAAAAAGAAAAAAAAAAAAAAAAAGAAAGAAAAGAAATGTGGCCCCACCCCAGCCCCACCAAGCCTGCATCTGCATTGTAATAAGAGCCCCCAGGTGAGTCATGGACATAGTGTACACTTGAGAAACCCAGATCCAACCCAGCTAACACTCAGCCTCAGGCTGGGCTATACCTAAGCCACCCAAACACAACCACATCTTGGAGGTCAGAACAGGCTCTGGTTGGCCAGGCATCGTGGCTCACGCCTATAATCCCAGCACTCTGGGAGTCCGAGGCAGGTAGATTGCCTGAGCTCACAGGTGTGAGACCAGCCTGAGCCACAGTGAAACCTCATCTCTAAAAATACCTGGGCGTTGTGGCGGGTGCTTGTAGGCCCAGCTACTTGGGAGGCTGAGGCAAGATGATCGCTTGAACCCAAGAGTTTGAAGTTGCTGTGAGTTAAGACACCACAGTACTCTACCGAGGGCAACAAAATGAGACTGTCTCAAAAAAAAAAGTACAGGCTCTGGTCCCAAGGAACCTGTTTGTTCCTCATACTTTCTGGTTCATCCAGGGAACAGTCACAGAAGTCCCTTCCCCCAACTCTGCTGTGATCTTAAACTCCCAAGTCCCTAACTGATGGGAAGAGAGGTCATTCAAGGCAGCCATCGTGCTTCTACATTCAGTTTATACATAGCTGTATACAATATACAGAAACCTTTATATACAGATATATTTATAGAATAAGCTATATTAATTTGTCTCTCATTTTTACAGCAATATTAGTTTGGATCTTTCATACATTAAGTACAAAAAAAGTCACGGGAGACTGGCACATAGAGAGTGCATGAAGGTCTGTGGGACCCGGCTGCTCACTACCGATTGCATATGGAGTCGCCCAGGCCCCTGGGAGGACAGGCCAGCGCACGCTGGAGAGCTTGTGCTGCAGGTCTGGGGGATGGAGTGGGGTCGGTCTGAGCTGAGTTGATCTGGGTTGGACTGGGCTGAGGGGGGTGGCTCAGACCCCCCAAGTGTGGTGTGGGACAGAGGGGAGCTGTGCAGCAGACCCATCCTGCAGGAGCTGATGGGGGGCAGGTCGGGGCGGGTTACCCCTGGGTGTCCAGGGCTGAGTCCAAGCCTGCCCCAGCCCCAAGCCTGAAACACCGTGTGGCTGCAGCCTTGGGGCTGGGGGTTCTGTCCCTGATGGCTCAGTCCTGGGCATAGGTGGGCAGGGCACACCCACCTTACAGATCCCAGGACCCACCCTGGCAGAGGAAGAATTAAAAGGCCAGACTTCAAGTGTCTCCCTGTGACTGGCCGGGGTGCTTGTTGGAAATTTCCTCTGATGTAAGATTTTGTCTGGTTTTTTAAACTCTAAGGGCCACTGATGTCGTCTTGCTTCTGTGCTCAGTTGAGGCTGTGCCTCGGCATAGGCAGATGTCCTGCAGTCTAGTAAGGATGGGAGTCCCAGAGGATGAAGGGAGGCCCAGCTCCCAAGTCTCTGTCCCCTCTGTCAGGTGGGGAGGTGTTCCCAGGGCAGCCATCCAGGCCAGTCCCGTTTGGGGCAGGGTCGGGCCCAGATACCAGTGATAAGGGGATGGGGGTCTTGATCAGGGAGAGCCACTCAGGAGGTAGTGGGCGGGGCTGGAGTGGGAGGGACCATCCTCCAAAGAGACAAGGCACAAGCAGGCAGTTAGCCGTGCAGTCAGAGCCTTGGCACATACCAGTTTTCCAAACCAGGGGTCAGAGCAGCAAGCGCAAGGGGAACAGATGGTGTCTGAAGCAGAGTTTGTCCTGAGGGCCCACTGCACAGGCCCCACGGCGCTTGCTGACTGTTTTCTGGGCAGGCTGGGAGAGGGAGCAGGCAGGGCAGGCAGGGCGGGTGGCCCCCAGCACCCTTTCCTCAGGTACGGTGCACACTCATGCACATGCACACACACGCCCAACACTAGCATGCACAACCTCTCCCCGCATCTCTGGAGAAAGGTTGGGTCACTACCTCCCCAGCTATTTCCCAAACCCAGCAGGGAAGGAGCCTCAGGTTACCCCAGAACAGCCCCCAATTTCCTGGCCCTCCTGCCCACTCCCCTGGAGAGTGGGCAGAGGGTCTCCAGCCAAATCCCACAATACCCCACTCTTGGCCCCACCTTCCTGCCATCGGGTCATTAGGAAAGGGAGGAAGGCCTGGTTCCCAGGAGGGAGCCTAGGCTAGGGAGAAGGGAAGGATGAGGGGGCAGTGGGATGTTGGTATCAGATTCCAGGGCCCAGAGCTGCCTAGGCATGGCAGGAGTGACACAAAGTAGTCAGGTGGGGCTCCCACAGGAGAGAGGCTTAGGTGCCTTCCTCCCTGCCAGGGCTCTGACTCTGCAGCCGGGGTAGTTAGAGAAGTGCCCATCACCCTTCCAGTGCCCAGGATCCCTGGGGGCAGGTGAAGTCAGGAAGCCAGGAAGCAGCAGGCAGGTGGGGCAGGCCTGGGAGCCAGGGCCCATCAATACAGGGGTTAGCACAAGAGCCACCAAACAGAGGAAGGGCGGTCCTGACCCCACTTTCCCCCAAACCCCTTGGCTGCCTTGGGCCTCATTCAGAGGGGGGCTACTGAACATGTGATTGGGCAGGACTGGGGACTTGCAAGTCCAGGACATATCCTGAGCCAAGCCCAGCAGCTTCTGTAAACATATACAGCACTGCAGGCCACCATGGTGGTGGGAGGGCCACCCCAGGGGGCTGGCCAGCAGGCACCAGATCTGGGGGGTGGCCAGGGCAGATGCCAGCCTGGACCACAAATGAGATATGTGGGAAGAGGGCTATTCTCCATCTCGGCCCCGGGAGAGCAGCAGGAGGCAGTGATGGGGAGCCAGCTTGCCCACTGCCTATCAGGAACAAGGGGTGCCAGGATGCCCCCATGGAGGGCAGTCAGGCGGAGAGGACTGAATGTGGTCTGCTTGAAGCCCCCAGGCTCCTCCCTGCTCCAAGCCCTTCCCATCTCTCCCCATCTGGGGGGCCAGATCCCAGCTGCCCTGGCTCTGGGGGTCCAAAGCTGAGGTAGGGATACGGACCCCCAGCTCAGCAGCAGTGCCTCATGCCTGAGGCTAAACTGGCCCCTAGGGCCTCTCCTCAAAGCTGCCTCACGGGAGGCAGCCACTAGGTGCCCACAGGGCCACCTGCTCTGGTCTGGCGCCGCTGGCAGTGCTGCCGGGGTGCTAGCGTGCTGAGATGACCAGCTCATCCTGCTTGGCAGGGCTGGCCCCATGGCCGGTGGGGGTAGAAGTCCGGACCTTGTCTGCTGCCAGGCACTCCTGGCTGCTGAGGCCCGTGGGCGTCAGGTCCATGAGCTCACCCGAGGAACTGAGTGGGAAGGAGGGAGACAGTGAGATGCCCGAGGAGGGGTCAGCTGAACCAGCAAAGAGCCGTGGGGGTTTGGGCACCAGGTTGGGCTCGAACTGGGCACGCAGCAGTATCTCTTGCTGGCTGGGAGACTTGGGGCCCTCAGCATAGTCGCTGGTGGGGCTCTCAGGCACCACCATGCAGTAGAGGTCCTGGAAGGAGCTGCTCTTACTGTCCAGGTTGAAGAGGCTGTCGATGAACTCTGCAAATTCTAGCACCTGAGGGCTTGGTGAGTCCCCCAGGCGCCCATTGTGCAGTGCTAGCTCCCCACAGGGGGCCACCCCACCACCCCCACCACCCACCTCTTCTTCCTCCTCATTGGCTGCACTGGGGGGCCGCTCAGGAGTGATGCCCCCGCTGCCCAGGGCTGCCTCCAGGGGCTGCGTGTCCTGTGAGTGCTTGGACAGGCTATCAGCTGCCAGCAGCTCAGTGCGTGAACTCAGGGATGGGTTTTCCTCAGGGATGGCAGGGTCGATGTAGAAGAGGTGGCCCTCATCGCGTTCCAGCACGGCGTGAAGGCTGGGTGAGCCACGGATGCTGCGGAAGCCTGAGGAGCGGCGTGAGTCAAAACTGTACAAGGACTCAGTGTCCGACAGGCTCTCCATGGTGGCCAGTGGTGCCCGCCGTGCCTGCAGCTCTGCCGCCAGCCGCTCCTGGGTGGACAGCAGCAACAGCTCTACAGGGTCCTGGCGGGCTGCTGCTGCAGCAGCCACTGGGGACAGCAGCCGCCCCTCAGAGAAGCCCTCCAGGCTCATCTCAGACTGAGATTTGCTCCTGCAAAGGGAAAGCAGGACAGGGGCTGTGAGACTTGGAAGGGACAGAGACCAGTCTCCCAGTTCCCTGGCTGGAAAGAACTTGGTAGGCCCAAAGGGGGAGAGTTAGTTCAGCAACTGCTGAATGGCTTGGGACAGGAAATGCTTATTTTTATTTATTAGTTTTTTGTTTTGCAGTTTTGGGCTAGTGCTGGGTTTGAACCCACCACCTCTGGCACATGGGGCCCGCACCCCACTCCTTTGAGCCACAGGCACCGCCCTGAAAATGCTTATTTTTAAAACAACAAATGACAAGAACCCAAGACAGAAGACAAAAGAGCTGATACTTGGAGCACTAGGGCCCCAGGAATGCTTCTGGGGTCCCCTGCACTGGCCCTGTTGCTATACTAATGGGAGACTGAAACCTTGAAAGACTGGCTGCCCTAGGTCACTCATGAGCCCAAGGTGGGATGGGAGAGACAGAGGAAGGGAGAGAAGAGAAGGATGGAGAGAAGATGGGAGGAGGCAAGGGAGAGAGTCCTGCCCAGAGCTGACCCCTAGGACCAGCCCCCTTGTGCCTCTCCCAGGGCTCCTGACACTTCCTCCCTCATTGTGGGGTTCCTCCCTCCTCTCCCATAGGTTTTAGCCCCTCACTGGCAGACCAGCCTGCAGGGAGTGAGTGAAGGCTTGGGAGTGGCTGCCCACAGCAGTTACAGTGACAATGGACACCAGCTCCTTCATCTGGTCATACAGCTGCCACAGGACTTGCACAAATGGCAAGGAGAGATGTCCACTGTCCCTACTAAGAGCCAGGAAGCCCAGATCACCCTTCTCAGCAGCTACTTGGTCAGATGCATGACCAAGGGCATCGATCCTCCCCTGGAAGAACCACTGCTTAAAAGTCTGATACTGGGCCCTGTGGCTCAAAGGAGTAGGGCGCCGGCCCCATATGCCGGAGGTGGTGGGTTCAAACCCAGCCCTGGCCAAAAACTGCAAAAAGGAAAAAATAAATAAATAAAAAATAATTGAGAAAAAAGAGTCTGATACCCCCAAAGATTGTGTATGAGATGAAGAGTGCCTGTAGCTTGCGTGTGTGCCCCTGTGAGTGTGTGCAGACCTTTGTTGCATAGGTGGAGACAATCAGCTCATTGCAATCTCCAACTCCTGGGCTCAAGCAATTCTTCTCAGCCTCTCAAGTAACTGAGACTACAGGCACATGCCATCACACCCGGCTAAGTTTTTATTTTATTTATCTATTTATAGACAGGGTCTTGCTCTGTTGCTTTGGGCAGAGTCCTGTGGTTTCATAGCTCACAGCAACCTCAGACTCTTGGGCTTGAGTAGTCCTCTTGCTTCAGCCTCCTGAGCAGCTGGGACTACAAGCACCTGCAACCACTAAGCCTGACTAGTTTTTCTATTTTTAGTAGAAAAACTCACTCTTACTCTCCCCTCACTCTTACTCAGGTTGGTCTCAAACTCTTGAACTCAAGCAATCCACCTGCCTCAGCCTCCCAGAGGGCTAGGATCACAGGCATGAGCCACCACGCCTGGCCCTGGCTAATTTAAAAAAAAAAAAATTTGTGGAGGTGGGGTTTTTCTACACTGCCCAGGCTGGTCTCAAAGTCCTGGTCTCAAGTGACCCTCACATGAACCACAGAGCCTGGCTGCACCTCTGTTTGTGTGTGTGCATGTGTAAACCAGATATCTGTGTCTATTGGCCAGCCCACGTGTGCCTGTGTGCCTGGGTCTGGGCAGAGGCACATTCTTGCATTTACTTTCATGTCTGCCTGTCTTGTGCATCCTCATATGTATGTGTCTCCACCTCTGTTTTGGTGTGTGTCCTACACACGTGCATGTTTGCATGAGGTTATATGTGTATTTACAATTGATAATTTGTTTGCATATGTACTACATTGAATGCTAACACGTGTGTGTGTCAATACACAAGTGTCCATCTCTTCAGGTCTAAGTGGGCATGAGTCTTTGTGGCCCAAGGTCTGTGGGTCTGTGTGTGCCTAGATTCCCCCTATCCCATATGGGCTTCAGGGATGGCAGACTGGGGGACAATAAGAGCAGTGCGAGAGGGCTCCAGAGCAGTAGGGCAAGCTCAACCCTCTCAGGTAGAGCTTGGTGAGCATACGTGTACCCTGTACTCTGAAACCATGCACTGGGTGGGGTGGGGGAGGTCAGGACTCACCTGACGCTGCTGTTGCGGTGGTCTGCAGTTGACAAGTCCATGGCGAGTCCAGCAGGCATGGGTGGCCCTGTGGGGAGTGGCTGCTGCTGGAAGATGAGTTCAGGAGTCAAGTCCACCTCCGTGGGGCTCACCATGATCTTGGCAGCAGAAAGCAGAGCTGTCTTCCCCTTGTTGTAGTTCTCTAGTACCTGTGGACAGGATGTGGGATACTGGTGGTAGTGGAGGGGCGGCAGACCCAGCTCTGGGGCCAGAGCAGGGCAGGGCCCCAGGCCCAAGCCTCTCTGCACACAGAGTCTCACAGGATCCACTGGGTCCTGTTCTCCTTCTCCTGAGGTCCCTTCTCCTTGAGAAATCCTGGGTCTTGCCCCACAGACTGGCAAGGTTGGTGCGCACCTGCCCTGTGTCCAGCCTTTCATTAGTTGGTGGGGTGGGAGTGGCTGAGGCTGTCGCTGCTTGCCCAAGCATCTGTTAAGTGCTGGATGGCCTTCAGGACCTCTAACCTTAGCCTGCCTCATGGACAGGCCCATGAAAGTATCCTAAATGCTTCTCACCATGGGGCAATGAAAGAGCCAGGAGTATGGAGTCTTTTTCGGAGCCACCAGAGCCTCGCCAGGGAACCTGGCTCAGCCACCTACCTTCTCTGAGTCTTAGTACCCTTGTCTGTGAAATGAGAACCATGATCCAGCATTGTGGGTACTGATGAGAGACCAACATCTCTGTTCCCTGATGCTGTCCTCCCAGGAGCACCCGGGGCTCACCTTGTTGAGGCCCTCCATGACTACATAGGGCAAGTGCTCGTGCAGCATGGCTGGTGAGATGATCACCTCATTGAAGGCCTTATTGTCGCCCCAGATGGCAAAGTAGGTGGGCTCCTCCTGCTCACAGCAACTGAAAGGGACACAGTGGAACAGAGGGAAATTGAGGGGTGAGAGTGGCAGCCTGGCCCTCGACCCCTGGGCTCTGCTCTTTGCCCACACATTAGCAAGGCTGGGGTAGATTTAGAAGCTCTCTGCCCAGGGCTATGTTCTTGGGTCTGGCTGCTTGCCCTGGCCTGTGCTCAGCCTAGGAAAAGCTGACCTCACACCTCAGCCACAGCCCCTGTGTAGCCTTCTCACCTGCTCCACCTGCTGCAGGGCCCAGTTCACCAGCTTTGTGGCATGCCCCACTGGGAAGGAGGAACCTGGGCCTCACCCTCTGAAAAAGCAGGATGCAGGAGAAGTCTACGTCCTCACCCACTCATGTTCTCTCCCCTGCCCCGGCCACCCATCCTTGCTCACAGCTATGTACCAACCAATCCTATTAGTGACAGGAAGTAACAACGTGGGGGGTGAGTAGGCCAGGGCCTTAGGTGTGAGCCCACCAGGGCACCACCAAGAAAGGGCTAACACTGAGGGCAAAGCTGGGACCATCAAGAAAAGAGCTTAGAGTCCTGCTTGGGGAAGGCCTCTTCTTCCATTTCTAACGCAAGGCTGGGGAAATTCATCTATGGGGCCCCTGGGCCATTGTCTGCCAGCCTTGCCCCCCAGCCTTGAGGAGTGACTGAGCCAAGGCTGGCCCTCCCCCTGCCACCTACAGCAGACCCAGGACGCAGGGCACCACCTACCAACACTGCTCCGCGGGGTGGTTGTGGACCACGTGGATGATGCGGCCAGGCGGGTAAAGCGGGGTACTGGCCGAAAGGGCAATGGTCAGGTCACTGGGGTGGGTCCAGAGCCGCGTGCTGGCCAGAGTGGTCACCTCTACCTCTTCAGGCAGCTCTGACTTGGGGATGCATTTGGTGGCCCCCACGATGATTCGCCACTGTGTGGGGCAATGGGGAAATATCAACAGAGCTGAGCAGCACTGGCTAGGGGGTAGAAGCAGGGGTGCTGAGAAGGAGGTGAGAAGTGGGGGGTTGGTGATGGGCAGGAGATGTACGGTGGCCAGACGGCCAATAAGATGCCAAGGACAGGTGACAAGGAATTGCTGAATTTCAGGGCTGGCAAGAGGCTGGAAGCCCAGCCAACCCCTCATCTAGTGGATGGGGAAACAGGCCCAGTGAGGGGCAGAGGCTTGCTCTAGGTCACTCCACAAGTCAGAGGCAGAAAAGACCCCAAAGTTCAGTCCAGCTGTACCTGCCAGGTCTGACCCAACAAATGCCTAGGACTAGGTCTGGAAGAAGTAGGTTCACCTCCCCAGAACCAGGCTCCTCCTGCAGACATGGTCCCACAAAGCTTTGCTGCCCTGTCTGCTGCTTGGTACCTGGCCCAAGGCCCTGCCTGCCACAGAGTCACGGGAACCAAAGCTAGGAACAGCCTAGACTGGGCTGACCAAATGGGGGTGAGGGCCTAGCTGGGGCAGGGGCTTGGGTAAAGGAGGTGACCTACTGGTCTGCGCCTGCCACCTCCTGTACCTGGCTTGCTTCAGGGTGCCTGGCCTGGCCTGCTGAAGGCTAGCTTGGCACGGGAAGAACCTGCCAGTGTCCTCTAAAGCCATGGTATGGATTAGAAAGGGCCGACCCCTTTCTTGGCCACAGTAGAAAATCAGAACAAACTGTACCCAAATCCTCTCCACAAGTCATTTCCAGCCTTCCCTGAGCCTGGGGGATCTCGCTAGGCCTCCACAGAGGACTTCTCTTCACCCATTCATAGCACTAAGCCTCAGAGATTGCTTTTTCTTTGACTTTGGACAGTTCTAGGTGACTTGAGTCCCTGGGTCTCAGTTCTGATTCCATTATAACTTGTTGTGTAAGCAAAAGCAAATCCCTCCCCCTCTGGCCTTCAGTTTCCCCATCTGTACAGTGATAAGATGGATGGTAGAGCCTGGAGATGCTGAGGATCTGACAGCCTGAAGTTAGATGACACCAGCCACACTCAGCCCTGGCTACACTGTGGCCTCTTGTGCTTTATCCTAAGGGATCAGTAGGGGACAAGGACAAGGCTGCCAAGGATAGGGTGCCAGGGCGAGAGCTTACTTTGGGCTTGGTACTTCGCTGCAACACATCCAGGAGTTGTCTGCGGAAGCCTTCCAGCTGGGAGAGGCCAATCCTGGGGAGGGAAGAACATGGGCCCAATGAGGGGCTGGGAGGGCACAGGGTGAGTGGAGCAGGGGCAGGCACATACCAGCCAGAGCAAGAAGGCCGTCAGCTGGGATCATGGGAGTAGAGGGATCAAAGAGAGCAGAGCAGGGCAAGGGGCTTGCCTTTACCTTGGCCACTGATGGTGGGGAGACACAGGGACTGGGACTGAGAGTGGGGTGAGGCACAGAGCAGGGAGGACCATGGGCAGGGGTGACTCACCTGGGGACGAGGTCTTTACCCAGGACCACAGCAGTCACAAATTCCTTGGAATACTCCATGGCATCCTCACTGCGAGGGAAGCGGAGTGGAAGCTGAAGCTGAGCTGCCCCAGCTCCTCTCTAGCTCCAGACTCGTGGTCTTCTGGGGAGCTGCAGGTGCTAGGCTGGGCTGCCTGCTTCCCGCTCTGCCTTCCCTGCTGCTAAGGCTTTTTTGGGGTAGAGTCCGCATGACATTTTACTGACCCCAACCTCCTCCATGACCCACCCACCAGGCCGTTCCCAGGGCTCCCTGTGACTGGAAGCCAAACGCCCAGTTCAGTCCTCAGCCCCCATCAGTCCTACCTACCCCGGCCAACTTGGAGGCCCCAAACCACTCACCTCAGCAGGCCCCCTGGAGGGGAGTAGGCAAAACACTTGAGAGTTGGGTACTGTGGGCGCAGGAGGAAAGAGAGGATGGCAGCAGTGCCTGCTCCCAGGGAATGGCCCACCACAATCAGACCATAGTGTTTGGTCCCACGGCCCTGGGAACAGAGAAAAGGCTGAGAGCCCTGGCCCACTGCCTGCCAAGTGGGCTGTCTTAGCCAATACCAGGGACACTAATGAGTCCTCCCAGACTCCTGGGATCCTGTCTGTGATGCATGGATACTGGGGCAGAGGGAGAGCCAAGCTAGGTCCCCACAGAGCGGCTGCTTACAGAAACTATTCTAACACACCCCCACTTATCCTGTAAGACTCTGCTCAGAGATTACCTCCTTGGAAGCCTTCCTGATGTTCCAGGGTGGCTCCCTCCCTGCTAGGCATTGCTTCTGCGCCTGGGATAGACCTTTCAATCAATCACCATGGTGGCTACACTCTGTTATAATCATTTGGTTACCGGTCCCCATTCCCTTCTACCCTAGTTACTGGATTGGAGTCCCCTGAGGCCAGGGACTGCTCTGTTTTGGAAAGGGTAGATGCTGAGCCCTGGGTGCTGCCAGCACTGGGAGTGGCCAGTGGGCAGGACTAAGATCACCCCCAGCAAAGCAGCACTCCTTCTATCTGCTCTGTGATTATTTTGTCATTCTGCTGCATGAAATTTCTTTCTGAGAAGTGGCTCTGCAGCCATAAGGCTTAGAAGCCACTCAGCCCATATCATCTTTGTGCTTCCAGTGTCTGCACAAAGCAGGTACCCAGGAGGAGCTGACACAAAAGAGGAGGGGGTTGGCAGGACCAAGTGAGGAAGGGATAGGAGCCAGTGTCAGATGGAGTGTAAGGGCCAGGCCTATAGGGGAAATGGGGAGCCCTCATTACTTGTCCCCTCTCCTTTGCTGCCTTGCCAGAGGGAGAGTGGGGCTTGGTGGCTTGAAAAATGCCTCACCAGGTCTCGCCCGAAAGCCTGAGACAGGACCATCTCCTGCTCCAGCTTCTTCTTGATGTACTCAGCTGAGAGGACCATTCCCTGGGTGAGGAGGAATAGCAGGGGGTGTTAAAGGGAGACCAAACCACAGTGGCTACAGCTCACTAAACCCATCCCACCCATTTTCCTCTTTGGTTTTCATAACAGCCCAGCTGTGGGGGCTGATGGACACCGATCACATCATTTCCACCTCACAGATGACAAAACTGAGGATCAGACAGTTGTTGTGTATGACAGAAACTGCCCATCTGGGTTGGGTAGGGCTATGGGGGGTCTCAGTGGGTGAGCTACAGTGGACCTTCCAGATGAGATCACATCTCTCTGACCAGTCTCTTCCAGTAAGCCCGTGAGCAGTAAGCAGCATTTGCATGCTGGCAGAGGAGAAAATGAGGCCCCAGGGTGGGTACCTTGTGGCCCAGCCAGGTGCCGTGGTGCCCCTCCACAGGTAGGCGCTCAGCATCGCCTGTCAGGTCGGTCAGGGCATCCTGGGGATGAGAGAGCAGACGGGTGAGGGGGTGCTGAGGACAGAAGAAAAAGGCAGGTACCCCTAGGAGCTGGAAGCCGCAGGCAGCATACCTTGGGGGACAAGGTCCCCCGAATACTGATCACAACCTTCTTCTTGTCATGGTCCACAGCCACGTAGAAGGGTGTTTCATAGACCTAGAAGGTGGGCAGCTTGTCAGCCTGAGTGGCCTCTGGATGGGGCCAGACTCAGGGAAAGTGACCTTAGAGTCTCTCTTTGCCAAGAAATCTGGGGGTTCCCAGGGACACTGTATTTCCTGCCTGACCCAGCTCCTTGCTGACTCGAGTGGCCCTGAGTGCTGCCATTCTGCCTGCTGGGTCCAGATAGGCAGTGGTCCCTCCCCAAAGCTTCACTGCCCCTGACCTCATTCCCTTTCCTCAAAGTGTTGGGTGTGGGGTTGGTGTCCATTTTCCCTCCCTACCCAGAGGTGATTCAGGCCAGGGTCCAGGGAGAAGAGGCCCACCTCTGTTCTGCCTAGCTAGAGAAGGCCTAGAAGGATGGCCGCAACACTCTAGGCCTTCAGCTGCCTGCTGCTGGCGATACCAGGTCCCAACCCTCCCCTACACTTACTGCGTCATGGCAGGAGGTGTAGACAATGTCCACTGCAGTCATGTTCTCATCCAGGAAGTGGCGCCGGATGGCAATGGCATTACAGCCACAGCAGTTGTCTTCCTCAATAGTGACTCCAGGGGCAAACCGGGGTCTTGCAGGGCACAGGCAGCACCTGGGGTGGGGTGGCAGAGAGGTCAGGGCCAGGAAACCCCTGACAGCAATCTTTTCTTGTCATCCTTCCTAAAACCAAGTGCAGTTGAGCCTTCAGCTCCATCCCTTCTCTAAAATCATCTTCAAAATGCCCTTTGCTAAGTCCTGAGTGACCTCCACATTGCCAAATCCATTGGCCATTCCCAGCCCTCCTCTTACTTGAGATCTTGGCAGCAAGTGACCCAGAGGCCTGTCTCTCTGCCACTTGGCTAGAGGCCCCCTCCTCTCTGGGATCTCTCCTCCAGAATGGGCCTCCTCATGGCACCTGACACTGAGAGCCTAGGGTCCGGCCTTCCTAGTCCTTCCAGCTGGGCTCGCTCCTGTACACCTTGGGCTTTAGGTGCAGCCTTATGCTCATGTGCCTGAGAATCCACCTAGAACTGCTCTGCCCTCAAGGAGCCACCACACAACCACCTATGCAACATCTCCCCTTAGATCTCCAGCAACTTCCAAGACCCAAACTCTGTCTCTGGCTGCCCAACCCTGTCCTCCCAGGGCCCCACCAGGTATTCTATCCTCCTGCCACAGTCACGCAACTTGCTCAGGACACCTGCTCAGCTTCACCTTCAGACTCGGGACCAGACCCTGACTGCTCCCTCAACTCCACCCCCTCCTCCATATCCAACTGAGAGCAGTGCAATGGCCATGATCAGCCACCCTGTCAACTTGGCAGCAGAGTGACCCTTTTAAGAGAAGTCAGGCCATGCCATGTTCCACTTAAGACCCTACAGTGATGCCCTGCCTACCCCCGCTAGCCTGGTTTCTCACCTCCTTGCCCCTGTTCAGACACCTGGACACAGTCCTGCCTCAGCACCTTTGCATCTGCAGCACCCTCTGCCCCAAATGCCTTTCTTTCCTCACGTCCTCAGGCCTCTGTTCAAATGTTACAGTACAAGGAAGGCTTTCCTGGCCACCTCAGTCTAGCATAGCCAGGCTACCCTTGCACTGGGCATTCCCCATCCCGACTGGGTACCTTTATGTCTATCCACAGCACCTATCTGCTCCCACATACTACATATCCCCTTGTCTATGTGTTGTTTGCCTCCTTGCTGGGCAGTGGGCTCCATGGGGCAGGTTCACAGCTATGTCCCCAGAGCCAAAAATAGCACTAGGCACATGGTAGACCCCATAAAAGAGCGAGCCTCTGGGCTGGTCACCCAGCTAGCTGCAGCTGCTCTGCAAGCCACCAGAGGGAGCCAACACCCAACAGACCAAGCATGGAAGCCTGGAGCATGTGACCAGGTCCGCCAGCTGACTGGGGTAACAGCTGAGATTTTATTAAGAATCCTGGATTTCAGTGATACTCAGAGGTTCATCCCCACTTAGAAGAGCTGCACCTGCAGGCCTTTACACCCTTTCCTCTCTAAGAAAGCCACAGGGCCTGAGGGTGGGAGATGGCCCCAGCACATGCTGGGACAGCCTGGCCTCCCTGTGGCAGGCCTTGGTCTGGGGCCTGTACTCCTATGGAACCTGTCCCTCTCCAACCTCAACCACACATGAGGCTTTAACAGCACGGCCTTCAGATATTCTAATGTGTCCCCTCCCGAATGAGAAACTGAATTCTTAGCCTCAGTCTCCCATCTGTGGGAATGAGTACCGACAGCTATTTCATGAAGCTGGTGTGAGGTCAAAGGCCTAAGATGTACAAGTGGTGCTTACCAAGTGGTGGCTCACCCTCTCCAGAGAGAGGGCTTCCTCTAAGCCAGGAATCTGAGGGCAAGCAGGGGCATCTTCTGGGGGCAGTGACCCACCTTGAGGAGGCTATAGGGCCTGAGTGCTAGCCTGGCCCCTCACAGGGCTTCTCTTGCCCAGGGGAGAGAGACCTACCACGGATCCAGGGCAGGGCTGGAGCTAAGCGAGGTCTCCCAAGGGCAGCCAGGCCAAGGGCAGGATGGAAGAACCACTGCCAGGTGAAAGGCCTGGCCCCAAGGCCCAGGCAGCCCTTCCTCTGACTGGCCCAGGAGCAGCCTGGGGTGTAGAGAAGAGCACTGGGCTCTGGCTTTTGCCCTGAGGTCCTGGTCCGTGGGCCTGTGCTGCTGCAGGTAAGCCTTTTCTCTTCTCCCAAAGCACCTGATACTTCCAGGCAGGAGCCTGGCTGGGCTCTCATGGGGTCTGAGGACCGTCTGCACTCACAACTCTCTCTCTCTATAGCACTAAAGAACCTGATGCAGACATCAATATCCCTCCTGTCAGCAGAGCACCAGAAGAGCCCACCCTTTCAGTGACTCTCTAGATTCTGAAATATCCTATGGGCAAGCTAGACAGATACCACCAGTCACAAATGAGGAAACTGAGGCTCCAAGAGATACCCTCACACTATAAGTGAGTAATGGAACAGGGCCCACTAGGGCCCAGGTCTTAGGACTCCTGGCCTGGTGCTCATTGTGAGACATTTTCAGCCATAGTTGAGACTCCTTGGATACAGGGAAGAATGGCAGCCATGTGCAGCTGGCAAAGGTGGGAAGGGACATGAGGTGCCCTAGTCCTCTCTGATCAGCCACTAGAGCAGTGGTTCTCAACTTTCCTAATGCCACAATATATTTTCATTGTTACAAAGGGGTCACGACCGACAGGTTGAGAACTGCTGCACTAGAGGATGATGAGAATAAGGTCCTGACAACCACCCAGCTTTCTGAGGAAAGTGAGGGCACCACAGAGCAGGTGTGTCTGCTGTGGCCCCTCAGGGAAGAGGTGTCAAGGACAGAAGTTGCTCGCCTGCATGCCAGCCTTTCCAGAACAGGAGCCCAGGGAGCTGTCCTCCTTTTGCCTGGCACAAGCTGAGGACAGGCACCAAGGATGAGGAGGTTCTCCCTGGAGCAGGTGCCCTTTTCTGGCCCACTTAGGAAAACAGAGTCCACCCACCTACAGCTGGTAGGTTAAGGATGGAGCCAGGCTGCAGGACAGACCTGGGCTGAGGCCCTTCCCAGCTTGCTGTGAAAGCTCAGAGCCTTTAAAGGGCATTCTTGGTGCCTTTTCAGAGACCTCTATGCTTTGGGCCTCCCTGCCAGAAAGGCAAAACAGGAGAGGAGCTGAGAAAAAGGAAAATGTGGGCAGAACAGAATGGTTGAGGGGGCAGAGAGAGAGAACCAGAAGGGGAAGAGAACCAGTGGTGTGGACATTATGGAATATCTCCTTTTGTCCTCTCCAAAAAAATTCCATGGGGATCAACACTCCCATTTCACAGATAAAGAAACTGAGGCTCAGCGAGGTAGACCAACTTGCCTAAGCCTGCAAGTGACAAGTCTGATTCAAACCCAGACTGTGTGATTCCAAAGTCCACAATGGCATTGCCCAGGGATAATGCAGACCTAGAAAGGGCCCAGAGAAGGTCAGGAAGAGAACTCAAGCCAAAGGGTGGGGAGGAGCAGGGCAGTAGGCAGAGTCCTGTTTAGGGGAAGCCCCCACGGGCATCCAGCTTCATTTTCTCAGCCTCTCCTTGCACACAGGCTGGGAAGGGAGGCATTTTGGTGCTGGGACAAGCAGGGTACTCACGAGCAGGACCGAGCCAGCTGGCAGAGGCCACAGGCGGGCTTCCGCATCAGGTACATGGGCCACCCGTAGGCAGCCAGGGCAAAGAGCATATAGTAGCAGACCTCTTTGTAGCGGAGCATCTCTTGCTGGAAGAGAGGAGGTGGAGGGTGGTTACCTCCCACCCTCCCTGCCTGTAAGCCCCAAGGCCCTGCAGATCCACCCCCTAGAGGGAGGGGCTGCTGATGTCCTCCTGAGGTGTGGGGCCCCAGCCTTGGAGGATGGACTGTTCCTCCAGACGGTAATTGCATTTCCCTAATTATCTCCATGCAACCAGGGCAAGAATCCTCCTGAGACCTGTCCTGTTGCTCCAATCTCAGAATTAATGGTTTAGGGACAGAAAATCACTTGGAGTGTTGGATCGATTTCCTCGCCTGTTTTCCAGAGAAGGGAAGAGAGTGAGGGGCATGAGTAGCAATCACCCCACCTCAGCAATCAGGCCCTGAGAAAGGACTGTGCTATTGGGAAAAGTTAACCCTGAGAGGCCGCAGGCCCTCCAGCTGGGGGTGTCCAGGCCTTGGGCAGCAAAGCAGGCTGCTCTGGGCAAGGAGATCAAAACTTTTAGGTTCTCAGTTCTTTGTCTACAAGTAGAAGGAGACTCCAACTTGACTTATGGTGTCACACAGACTTCCAAGGCTCTCGGGAGGGGCAGTGTCTGGGGGAGATTGGGATCTCTCTAGAAAAAGGACCAGTTTGGAACCCAAGGTGGTCATCAGCTGTAGGCTGTAGGGAAGACAAGGCAGTGGTGTCCCAGCCAAGCTCTGAGTGCCCTAGGCACCAGGGAGACTCAAACACTTAGAGGGAATTAGTCACCTTGTAAAAGTTAAGGATGGTGATTAGTCACCTTGTGAAGTGAAATAGGTAGTGCCTTAATCAGGGCCCAGAGGGGCAGAAACGTCCCTGGCCAGCTCTGTCTGCTCTTCAGGAATGAGAGTGAGGGGTAATTATCCTCTCCAAGTTGGGAACTCCCTGCAGGCTGGCAGGGAAGGGCAGGGAAGGGAAGGGCAGGGCAGGGCAGGTGCTGGCAGCCTCTGCCAGGTGGCAGGTGTGGACCCCAGCACCCCAAGCCCCACAGCTGCCTGCCTTGGCCAGCTCCCCACCATGAGAAGTGGTAAGAACAGCCAGGCAGACCCTGCTAAATGGAGACAGCGGGCTTGGGGCACCTGCTATCTTTCAAAAGGACACAAATGCCCGCTTTGGCGAATATGGGCAGGCAACGAGAATGAGGCTTTTCTAAGGGTCTGGGATTTCTTTTTTTTTTTTTTTTTTTTTTGAGACAGAGCCTCCAGCTGTCCCCCTGGGCAGAGTGCCGTGGCATTACAGCTCACAGCAACCTCCAACTCCTGGGCTCAAGCGAGTCTCCTGCCTCCGCCTCCCAAGTAGCTGGGACCACAGGCGCCCGCCACAACACCTGGTTATTTTTTGGTTGCAGCCATCATTGTTGTTTGGTGGGTCCAGGCTGGGGATTCGAACCCACCACCTTAGGTGTACGTGGCTGGCGCCTTAGCCGGTTGAGCTATAGGCGCCGAGCCAGGGTCTGGGATTTCTAAGGGGCAACTAAATACTTCTAGTAGCATCCTGACCAATACTGTGCTAGGACCTGAACCTGGGAGGGCTCATCTCTTCCCAGCACAGCTCTGTATGCAAGGCATGCCTGGGGTCATTTCACAGATACAAGGACAGGCTCAGAAGAGGTGAGGGACTTGCTCAAGGCCACAGAGGCAGGTGGTAAATTAGATACACACCCAAATTGGTTTGCTTCCCAAGGCAATGCCAGCTTCTTCCCGCTGCCAACTGTGGTTTTCTTGGGACCAGCCTCAACTTTCCCAGTTTCTACAAAGGGTACTTGAGGAAAGATTCTCCTACTAAAAAAGCTTGGGCACCAAAGTGCTATGTCTCAAGGCCTTTTGTAACAGCAGCGGCAGCTCACCCTTGTGAAGTACTTTGTAACCTCAAAAGGCCAGGACCAAACCTGTCTGAGCTTGGCTAAAAGGAAGCAGGGGATTTGTCTGTAGAACCAGCATGATGTGGGGGTGCTTGTGGGGGCATCATCTGAGCAGGGCAGCTCTCTGATGAGCCAATAGGGGGACTGGTCAGGAGACATGCGATTAGCACTGCAAGGGATCTGATTAGGTCATTCTGGCAGAGAGGGGAGGGACAAAGCATGGGGTGGGATGGGAGGTGATTTCTGACTCACCGAGTTCTTGAGGTCGAGATACTTGGTGTTTCTGGTCACTGGCATCCCAGACAGGAAGGCCAAGATGTCATTGTTTGCCTGTAAGAGCAGGCAGGTGAAAAGGGCACCTGCTGCCCCAGGCCAACTTCATGGCTAAGAAAGGGGGTCCAGAACTCGGGTTCTGTCTGCTTCCCAAAGGCCTGAGAAGCCCATAGAGCATGTGGCTTCTCATTCTTCCAAGATGTAGTCAGCTTCTGAAGTTTCCCCATATTTCCAGTTGCTCCCTTTCTACCCAAAGCATCACACCTCTGGGGATGTTCCCAGGCCTCACCAGGGGGGAAGACATTTGCTCTGAGATGCTGAGAGACCCTAAGTCGGATGGATGTGTTGGCAAGGATGTGGGGGTGGAGTGGCAAATACAGATGCCTAAAGTATGGAGCAGGCATCATTCACTAGGCCCCTGCAATTAGAAGTCTTTTGGGGGTTGGCCCCAGAAGCAGCTGCACATGGGAAAGGAAGACCACTGAAGCAATATTCATGCAAAAGTTAGCAGAAGGACAAGCGGGACAAGGGAGAGGCAAGCAGCAGGTGACCTCCAGGGCCCAGGAGGATATGTGATCTCTGGGAGAGGGTATTTGATCTCTGGGAGCCCATGGGAAGGGGCCTGGGAGGGCAGTGTGGGGAGGGGCCACAACCCTTACCTCGTCCAGCACAGCATTACGCTTGGCCCGCTGCCGCTGCCGGAGCAGCACCAGGCCAGCAATGATGTCAGATGGCACGATGTCGAGGTCCCGGAAAAACTCAGCAAAGAGGTAGGCAATTTCTGAGTAGGCATCCTGTATGGTTCAGGAAAGGCCAGAGGCGGTAGCAGGGGAGCAGGAGAGAGGACAAGAGACCAGGAATAAATCCCCCAGGCTGGGAGATGTCTGATCTGGGCTCCCTGGGCAGGCTTGCCCCCTGGCACCTCCACATTACCAGCTAGATGTGACCCTAAGCAGCCCCGTGCAGCTGTGACACTGACAGCCCTATCTGGGGAAAATCTATGGCCTTCACAGACCTGGTAGTAACTGTCAGGGATAACAGTGACCCTTCTTCCTCTACCTCCTGGCCCTCTGCTCTCCTGGGTTCCCTGTAGCAGTCACTGTCCACCAAGTATAGGTGTCATCTGGAGCCATTTCTTTTGCCCTTTTCCCTGGATTCTGGGAATCAGGCCTGGATGGCCCAGGGTTATTTCCTGCTATAGCTTTTCTCCTGAACACAGAAACCAAACTAAGCCCCTGGCTGTTTCTGTCCCACCAGCTATGACCATGGAAGGTCACCACCCCAGTCTTGGGTCCCCTCCCCCAGCTGCCCATGGGCCACTGGCTCAGTGACCCCTACAGTATGCCTGAGAAACAGTGTTACTACCATGCCAGTGGCCCCTCTGGCTTCCCTCTAGGCTCCTGAGGGAAGCCCTTGTCTGGGCCTGGGGAGGAGGAAAGGTAGAGCGAGGCAAGGCCCCAGCTGGTGTGCTCTTGAGTATTCTATGCCTCGTAGCACGCTGGAGCCTAGAGCATCTTCCCTAATCTGTCAGGAGAGATAGAGGTGGGAACAAACCCAGGGCAACTAATTCTGTCTCACCAGGTTGCACCCTTGAGTGTCTGGCACTTGCAGGAGAATAAATCAAGGGCCGCAAACTCAAATGCCTAGTGAGGCCAAACAGAGCTAGCTACTACTCAGCTCCAGCTGACTGGCCCTGGGAGAGGGCCAGCATTGCCAAATTTAAAAATACAGATATTTATGTAAACACCCTGATTTTTAAATGTTGGCATCCAATTCACATTTTTAAGCAACATAGCACAGGCTGATCAAAATGTGCTTTAGACTGGACCTCGCCCCTGGCCTGTCAGTGTCTAAGGGACCCTTGCTCTGGGGCTCCCCTGGGATGTGCTCCCTTTTTCCTTTTTCACCAGGGTCAGATGTGCCTGGGAGGGGTGGGTGAGCCCTCCACAGGGGCAGACCCAGCCTCCATCTGCCTTCTGCATGGCTGGTCTGTGGCCCTTCACACCTCCCCAGAAAGAGACCTGTGGGGATGCTCCCCACCCTCCAGGGGACCTTGGGGCTTTCTTACACTTGATTACTCACTCTACGGCTCACCAGGGGCGGCTGGTGGGGAGGAGCCACTCGAGGCTTCCTGGTGGCTTCCGTGGAGGCACTGTGCTGTCTGCCTCAGGGAGGAGTGGTCTCCTGACCTCACTGGCTCTGCTACTAACTAGCTGTGGGACGCTGAGCAAGTCAGTCCACCTCTCTGGGCCTCAGCTGCCTGATCTGCAAAACGAGGGGTGGGACTGGATGATCTCTAAGGTCCCTGCCCCACTACAGGGCACCCCTCAAGGAGCCCAGGGCCCAGCCTCCGCCCAGGTGCCGCCCCCAGCTGACCCTGCCTTCCTTCTAAAGAGACTTGGCATTACCAGGCCTGGCTCCTCTGGTTACCCGTCAGAGCCCCCAGGTGCAGCCTGGGCCATGTAGATGATCTACAGCTTCTCCAGATGTTCCTGATGGATCTGCTGCTGGTGACGTGCCACTTTTCTCTGCCTTCGGGTTGCCCTGACTTTTGAGTATTTCTTCTCCTAAACTAGGCTGTAAGTTCCAAGGGGGACAGTACAAAGTCTTCATATCTCTCTGCTCCCTTGACAAAGCAAGTGGACAAAGCAGTGTCTTGCTTGTTAGAGGGAGTTTGTCAGTGAGTAATAGCCCCTCACGGTGAGCAGACTTTCACCTTGTACACGCTGGGGACATCGCTCTTTTCCACCAGCCCTGGCCTTCCTGGCTTTGCCAAAGGAGCAAAAGGCCCCCATGTCACCTGACCGCATGATGTAAGCCCAAGGGAAGTGACTTTTCAGTACTTACTGACTGGGAGTCTTTTGTCCGAGTGCAGCAGAGGAATACTTTGAGCCGGCGTGACCAGCTGGTGGCCTGACCCTCCTCTAAGCGGTGCCTACAAAGGCAGAGAGTTGGCATGCGTGAGGCCAGGGGGATACAGCAAGAGAGCTGGGCCCAGAGGTTATAGAAACATGGAGGCCTGTTTCCAGGACCCTACCAAAGGGCTCATCAGCAGGTGGTCTGGGGGAGAACAAGGCTCAGGCCTGGCCAAAGCTAGGTGGCCAGTGACCTGGCTATCAGTCAGTAGGGGCACTCCCTGGCAGGCTCTGCTAACCTAGATGGTATGTGCTGCTAACCAAGGGTTGGAGGGATGTTCCATGGCTTTTGGAAGACTGAGCATGCCCTAGGGCTTCAGGGTCGGAGCCCAAAGTGGAGGCTACTCTGCAGCCCAAGTGTCCAAAGGCTCAAACCAAAAGCCCTGAGAGATATCAGCAGAGTGCTGGGCCTCTCCATAATCTCATTCTTCAGACAGACATGCTTCTCCTCAGAAAGGATACCAGATACTCACAAACTCTGGAAATTTGCAGGCTGAATGAGCCTCTGTGTTTCCTAATTCCTTGGATCTGCCAGCCAAGTAGGGAGGGTTCCCACTCCTCACTGGCATGGTTACCCCATCCATTCCCCGCCCCAGATGGGTCTGGTTGCTCAGAAGGGGACTCAGGGTAACCAGGAGTCTGTACCTAAAGACAGAACCAATTATCCACAGAGGGTCTCCTATGTTGGGTGTCCAGAAGCCAGTGTATTTGGGCATAAAGATAAGAGATCCAACATTAAAAACATGGACTTCCAAACCCAGCAAGAGGAGAAGCTTGATTTTGTGCTATATGCTGGCCCCTTAAAAGCCTGGTGCTGGGTCAGGAGGGGAAGGCAAAAGTGGCCCTCAAATATGTTCAAGGCACTTAACATCCTACAGGAGTCACTAGCAATACAAATCCTTGAGCCTCTTGGCTCCTCTCTGTGGCCAAGGAACACTTCCTGCTCCCAAACCCTGGTTGTACTAGGTGGCTGGGCACAGGGAACAGGAGACCCACAGGGCCTTCTAGGGCTATAGGAGAGGCTCAGGAAAGGGTACAAGGGAAGTGCTGCTTTAGGGATCTGCCACCTCTTAGGGACTTGGGGAGCCTTGCATCGTAAACCAACGTCCCACCTTCCAAGGGCTTGATGCACCGACAGGGTGCTGACCAAGCTGGAATCTAAGAGAATTACATTTCTTTTTTGGCTGGGGCTGAGTTTAAACCCACCACCTCTGGCATATGGAGCTGGCGCCCTACCCTTTTGAGCCACAGGCACCACCTGAGAATTACATTTTCTAAAGTTCTCTAACCTAATGAAGATCAAAGAGAATTTCCCACTGGGCCTCTGGCCTGATGAAAGTGCTGACTCTATACTTTGCTGCAGTACCATTTATAAACACCAGGGGGTGGATGATTTCAGGAATGTGAGTGAGAAGGTGACAGGTTTGGTCTAGTGCATCAATAAGGCTTCCAAGACCAAGACAGGAAGCCACATACCACATCTGGACAGAAAGTGCCTGGCCCTTGCAGCCCTTTGCCTCACATCTCACTAAAATGAAAGGAGGGCAGACATTTCTGCTGCAAAAATCCAAGATCAAGGCTTCCAGGGAGCAGTGCTGGGAATAACCAGCCTCAGATTTCACTGGAAGGAGAAAGGGCCAAGGACTTAAATGGTGCCCTGACTTTCAGAAACCAGAATAACCTAACAGTATGGTACAGCAGGGTCCCCACACTAGGAAGTTGCTAGATTGAAAATGTCTTTGAAAAAACTATTTGTGAGTTTTAGAGCAGAAGGAGAGCAAGAGAAGAACATTCTGAGGAGTGGTTAGATGTGAGCAACCCCACAGCCTCAGCTGCCCTCCCAAGCCCCACAGAAGAGCTGGAGAAACCACAGCAGGCTGAGGGCCTGGGAACTCCAAGGCCTCTTATCCTCCTTCATAGGACCCCCAAACTGCAGGAAAGCTGTCTAATCAAAATGACAGCAATCACCAGCCCCACTCCAAAGTCACTGGCTACCCTGGCCACAAAGACAATCACCACTGTCAAGAAGGAAAGATTTATTTTTTCTAGGACTCAAGGAGCCCTGAAATCAGATTGGGTGGGGTACATGTGCCCAGAGTGAACAAGTGGGATGAGTGGTGGTGGCAGCCAGCTGAGCTGAGAGGAAAAATGGGCTCCAGGGCCTTGGCTCCCAGACCTGACATTTTGGGCTGGGAGGTGGCCAGACCAGGCATGGGTGTGGCTCTAGCTGCAGTGCTGGGCTGATGTGGAAGGTCTGAGGGGAGCTGAGCATAGAGGTGCAGGAGGGTGGGATAGGGAGAATTCTGCTTGACAGTAGGGCCTAAGCAGACTGCCAGTTCTGCACTCCTACCAATGTGATCTAAAGCAAGTGACCTGGCTTCTCTGAGACTTGGATTCCTCATCTGCAGAATGGGTCTCACAACTGCACTGGGGTTGGCAAAAGAATTAAACGGGAGACTCATCCTGTAAAGGACTCAGCAGCAACTCAATTAACAGGATGGGACCTGGAAACCTCCTCCCTTTTATTTTCAATAAACAGGAAATAAGGCTGAAAGGGCTGCTCACATCTAACCCTGCCTGAGTGCTCACCCTCATTTTCACTGCCATGGTATTTTCCTCCTTCTTTAAAACACCATGCAAAATACACTTCCTCCAGGAAGGCTTCCTTGATTAACCTCTTACAATCCTTGAATCCTAAAGGCAGCCTGGCCACCTAGTGGTTTCCCAGCCTCACCATTTACTAGCGCTGTCACTTCAGGCAAGTCTTATAATCTCTCTGTACCTTGGTTTCTCCATCTGTCTTATGGGGAAGATAACAGCTACCTCATAGCATTGTTATAACTTCCTATGTGCAATACTTGACTGGGTTTATAAATGTCTTCTACTGTTTTTTGTTGTTTTTTGAGATAGAGTCTCAAACTGTTGCCCTGGATAGAGTGCTATGTCATCACCGCTCACAGCAACCTCAAACTCCTGGGCTTAAGTGATTCTCTTGCCTCAGCCTCCCAAGTAGCTGGGACTATAGGCCCCCACCACAACACCTGGCTATTTTTTGGTTGTAGTTGTCATTGTTGTTTGGCGGGTCCAGGCTGAATTCAAACCCGCCAGCTCTGTATGTGGCTGGTGCCCTAGCCGCTTGAGCTACAGGTGCCAAGCCAATGTCTTCTACTGTTATTATCATTGTCATTATTAGTGCTGGTGGTGATAACAATGATGACAACAGCTACTATCTACTGAGCACCTGTCAAATGTGAGCACTGAGTTACTTTGCACATTTTATCTCATCTAAACCTCACAACAATATCACAAGGCAGGAACTGCTGTTATGCTCACTTTATAGACAGGGATGCTGAGGCTGGGAGAGGTTAAGTGTTTGACTAAAGCCCCAGGTTCGCATGAGGCTGACATGCAGTCTGGAAGCTCTGAGGAAGCCTCCTGGATAGCAGAGAGCTCACCTCTGACTATAGGTCAGCAAAGCCCTCCAGGGACAGCCCACCCACCCAGCTGACTGACCGCAGGTTATAGGTCCGCAGGTTGCGTTGCCTCCTCTTGGTAGCTCTCAGCTTGACGAAAGTGCGGCCCGTGGGGTCGAAGACGCAGAGGACAGTGATGCAGACGCTGAGGATGACTACCCAGTTGCAGACAACCATCCCTGGAGGGTGGCAGTGGGAAGCAAGGGGACACCTCACTTGCTTACTAGTTGGGGACTCCCGAGCTTACTAGCTCTGACGAAAGAGATTCTCTCTACCCTCAACTGCTTCTGGGGCCCAAGAGCAAGGCTCAGAAGCCCCTGTTCCCAGGCTCTGGTCGCATATGTGACGATCCACTTGCTGAGCAGTGACCCCAAGGCCCACCCTTGGCACAGAGGAGATAGCTCTGGGGGGTCCCAAGGAGGATTTAAGGAGCCTCAACTGATGCCCTGAGCAGCTCTGGACCTGCTGTTACTCCCCAGACCAGAGTCGCTAAGGGTGGATGGCAGCCCACAAGGATGAAGAAAGCAGCCTTGCCTAGCTAACCCGCTGGGTGCCAACACAGAACCCACTGCCCTCTGGTGAAGTCCAGTATTCCTCCCCTCTAAACTGATTCCAACCACTCCACCCTCAGGGCTGGCTGAGGCTCCAGCAAGCCTTGCCCAGACGTACCGAGGGTGACATTCTTGGCAGTGAGGTCGTTGCAGGAGGTGTAGTACTGGGTGAGCCAGACGATGCCCACAATGGCGTAGATGAACTCAATCACCAGGATGGCTATGAGGAGAGCAGGCCTGGCTGAAAGATGGCCGCTGCCTGCCCATGAGGGAAGGGCCCAGGAGCCTCAGGCTGGATCCCCCTGCTGCAGGGGGCATTCAGAGGGACTACAGGGAGGCTACAGAGCCTCCAGACAGTTTAGCAAGCCTGCCGCTCCATTGCCTCTTGGGCCCCAAGGCTGTCCCATCACCATTCTGCCCTGCTGGCCCTGCCCGGTCTCGTGCAATATGCCCACCACCTGCCCTCGCTCATGTGCCCTCAGGGCCCTGGTGCCTCCCTGAGAAGGTAGCTGGATGGGCAGGTGAAGAGGCATTTCCTCATTCTTTCAGAGTTTCACAATCATATACGTGAACTCTGGAATTGGATGTTATCTTAGGCAAGTTACTTAATCTCTCTAAGCCTCTATTTCTCCAACTCTAAAATGAGAGTGGTGATGTCTATGCCATAGGACTAGGTAAGAATTAGGTGAGAAAGTGTTCATTTCTCAGCAAGAAACCTCTAGAACTTGAGGGAGGAGGAGGGAAGAGCCCCCGCAGCCAGGCTATTCAAGGTGTGCACCCTGCTCAGGCCAGTACACAGAGCCCATTGATGCAGGCTGAGGCTGAAGGGGAGGGCTTGGCGGGGGGAGGAGATTTGGCAGCCTCCCAGGGGCAGCATGGGAAGCCAGGCAGCACAGTGTGGCAGCTAAGAGCCCAGACTTTGGAGTCCAATGGCTTGGGTTCAAATCTCTGTCTGACACTTTCACATTTACTAGTTATAGGACCTTGAAGAAGCTAATTAACTCTCTGGGACCCAGTTTCCTTATCCATAACATGAGGGTGACGATACCTCTCCCTATCAGCTTAGGGATAAGCACTTAGCATGGCAAATAGAAGGACAAGGTAAATGTTCAGGAGGAATGACCAGACCTGGCTAGAAGTGCCTTGCCTCTCTGGGGAGCTGGTCCAGGCTGCCCCTAAGGGGCCTCCCAGGAAGGGCTGGGCCTGTTTTGACAAGGATCACAGAGCAGCTATGGTCTGCAGAAATGCATATGGTTAAGAAAAGGGGATAGTAGAGAGCAAATATCTTGGACTTTGAGAGTCCGACAGTCTCTAACTATTCAACTCTGCTGGTGTAGTGTCAATGTAGTCAAAGACAATACATAACTGACTAGGTGTGTTCCAATAAAACTTTATGTACAGACAAAGACCATGGGCTGGATTTGGCCCTCAGACTGCAGTGTGCCAGCTCCTGGACTAGCACATAAGCCCCAGAAAGTCTTAGTTCACTGCTGTGTCCTGGTACTAGCACAGAGCCTGGATCATGGCACCTGCCCAGCAAATACTGGCTGAATGAATGGGCACAGGAGGAGGATGGGGCTGGGGGTGTCCGGAGCAGTCCCTCTGCTGGCAGCAGCCCTTACCCAGGCGCACGTAGAGCACGTACTGCATGGAGTCACGGGGCTCCGTGTAGAGGATGCCCCCGCGCATGCTCAGCCAGATGATGGCCATCTCGGCGATCATGCAGCTCAGCAGGATGCCCAGATAGCCGCGGCCGTGGTCCACCAGGTTCAGGGAGCAGGCCTCGTGCGGGTTGTAGACCAGGCCAAAGAGCACCACAGACAAGATCACAAACCTGTCGTGGGAACACATAGTAAGCAAAGTCAGCAACCCCTGCAACTTGGCGGCCCCTAGCAGGCAGGCCCCATCCTGGCATGGACTCTGCCCACCTGACATCATATGCCTCCAAGGGTGTGGGCAGCCACTAAAACATCTGGGGACAGGGAAGTGAGAGCAGGAGGGCTAGCGGACAGCCACTGGGAAAGAGCATAGCAACTCTGCCCAGCACTGGTGTCAGATCTCTGGGCTCTATGTAAGTAAGTATTGCTTTAAGGGGTTCAATGTTTCAGACACCTGCTCCTGGAAGCTGAGGTCATGACAAAGACAGGACTCAGGCTGAGGCAGGAACAAATGGCCAGAAAGCTTCCTTCCAGACCTTTCTCCGCAAACTCAGGACTGTGGCCTCAGCCCTAGAGACTCACCAGGTGGTATGCAGAAGGAAGAGGAAGATGGCTGGCAGGACGAGGTCATCGCTGCCCACAGACCAGCGCCGCCGGAACACCACAATCCCAGGCATGGCTGGCAGCTCTGCAGAGGCTCAGTGGGCCTGGTGCTCACCTCCTGGAAAAAAGCAGAAGACCCTGTAGCTACCTGAGTAAGCAACAGTATCCAGGGCCAGCACCTTCTTGAGCCACTGGGCCAGTCCCTGGTGTGGCCAGCAACAGAAGCATCTTCAGAACTGGCCACAAGTCCTAAGCCACATGGGCAGGAGCCAACCCATAGGAGCTCAGCAGCAGTTTACTGGCTTTAGCCTTACCTCTGAGGACACTCCTGTCCCCCATGACTGGCACTGGTCCTCTGAGATCAGCCTGTGCCTGGGGTTACCCCAACAGCAATTGTTCAGTTCTGTTAATGACTCTAGGCTTACCCGCTCGTTCCCTCTCAGCCCCATCCTCCTTATGGTCTTTCCATGACATCTGGCCCAGTGCACAGTGCTTGGAATTGGGGTAGGGACTTCTCAGGCTAAGAACAAGCCCACCACTCAGCACAAAGTTACACAGGGCAGGAAAAAAAGTTGCAGGCCTCAGTAAAAGCAGGGGCAAGGGCATGTGTCTGTCTGGTGGCAGAACTAACAACACCCACAGGGTGGGGAATGGGAGCACACAGCAGGTGTCAGAAAATATGTACTGAACAGAGTCTTTAGCTTCTTGCTTTGCGGGACCCCTGTGAGCACACTCTATGACTTGGTTTTGTATCTATTGGACAGAATTCCAAACCCCAGCTCTGCCTCTGGAAAGGAAGGGCACAGTTGAGGTATGGGGTGAACAGCATGGCATAGGACACCTTCTGCCCACACCACTGGAGGAACAGCAGTGAGTCCTGCAGGGTAACCCCCTCCTGGCAACCACGGATCCCACGCCCACCCTGTACCAAGCAGCCTTAACTGCTCAGTTCTCGACTCAGGGAGGAGAGCCCTGGGAACTTGGGGCCCCCACTCTGTAGAGCCCCAGGAAGAGGGGTAACAGTGTAGGGTGGGAGGCTGTTCTCCACAGATACCTGTGAGGGGCCTCAGGTATCCCTGGGCTGGGCAGAGGGAGTCCTGCTGTGGGGGGCTGGCTAGGCACCCTGCTTGTGGGCAGCTGCCCCAGGCCAGTAGAGGCTTACATGGCACCTGGTCCAGGAACAGGCGGCAGGTCCTCCTCTCCCCAGTGACGGCTTCGGGGAAAATGTATGTCCGAGGAGACCAGCATCATTCAGGAAGGAAGCAGCCAAGCCTTCCCTGGGCAGTGGGCACAACCCTCAGGGTGGGCGAGAGGGTGTGGGGCTGAGAAACCAACCAGCATGTGTGACCCGGCCTGGCTGCCTTGCCCCGGTACAGCCACTTCATCCAGCTGCTGCCAGGGCTGCGCGGGAGCTGGGAGCTGGTAGCCTGGCGGGCTGGCGGGCGGGCCTGCTGGGGTCGTGCCTACTCCTCCCCCCACCCTCAGGAAGTGACATCATCTCACTCTCTCTCCAAGGAGGAGTCGGAGCAGAGCGGCGGATTCTAGGAAGCAGGAGAAGGGTGGAGAGCCACAGTAGTGGATAGCCGGGCTGGGGTCTGCAGACTGCAAGGGGCTGGGGCTTCAGCAGAGTCTGTGTCTGGTGGCTGATAGCACCAGCCATGGGTTCAGGTTGCCAGGGATGGGAAAGGAGGGGCTTGGATACTGTGGGTAGCAGCTGTGTTGGGGTAGAAAACCGCTGGTGTTACTGGCCCCTCTCCACTCCAGGTGGCTCATGGAGGGCAAGGTAGAGCATGGGGTTGGGCTCAGGGGGCTGCCAGGAGCCCTCTCTTAAGAATGAAATGAAAGGAATCAAAAGCTCAGAGCCAGCATGGTCCCTGCAAGTGCTGAAGTCGCATGCCCTATTCCAGTCAGGCTGGATGGGCCAGAAGGACAAACAGTGGTGCTCCAGAGGAGCTGGCAAACGGGTGAGGGTCCACCCCTACCAGCAGCCCAGAACGCCCTGCTCTCAGGTACACACCATTGACAGCCCCCCTAGTCACCCTAGGGACCCTCTGCTTCCCTCTTTACCCATGGAGTCCGGAATGGCTAGCACTCCCTTAACTCACATGTACCAACTACCCAGCACCCTCAGCCTCTGAGCACTCCTCTTCTCCCCACACCTCTCCCACTCTCCCCAGCTCTCAGGTTGGGAGAGGTAAGCCAGGCCTGGCACTGGGCTCTGCAGGGGTGGCTGCAGGACTTTCAAGAACTGCAATGATATAGGCAGTGGCAGCCTCTGACCCCAGCTCTGGGGGCAACCAGCCTGAGGCCAATGCCCACTAGATCACATGGTGGGGTGCTACAAGCTGGCCACTGGGCACACTGTATATGACAAGTCTGTGCCTGAGGCCAGCCCATCACTGCAGAAGCCTAGGCACAGCATTGGGAGCCCGGTGCGGGTGCCAGGCTACCTTGTTTTTAACCTGGGCTCTACCACCCCAAAATTGTGTGACTTACTAGTTGTGCCTCAGTTTCCTCATCTGTAAAATGTCGATTATCTCCGCCTTCTAAAGCTCTGGTGAGGATCCCATGTGAGAAGGTCTGCAGAGGCCCTAACTGTGCTGGATGAACACCAAAGACAGTCTTAGGCAGGCAGATAAGGTGGAGGAAGTGCATGGGAAACCCCTGCTGGGTTTGCCACCCCTCCTGCCTGGGCTAGTATATTCTCCAGCTGGTTACCAATGGGTCATGGTCTGGGGTGGGGGTGGCAGGGCCTGTGCTGCACAGAGGGGTGGTGTCAATTCATAAATCTCAATCTTGAGGCTGCTATTTTTAAGGGCTTGAAAGGCGCCCTTTCTCTAGAGACCCCAGCCCATCACAATGGGGGCCTGTTCCTCTGCTGGGGATGTGATTTCATCTGGAGGAAATGTCTCAGGAGGGGGAAGGGCAGAGGCTACTTCCTACTCTGGGGCTGCCACACAGCATCTCCCTGGGGAAAAAGTCAGTGCTCTCCAATAATCACAGAGAGGTGGGTGGTGTACATTGTCTCCCTTTCCTAACCAGTGGGACAGGAGAAGCAGCTGGAGGCTCCTCCTGCCTCTGATGGGCCTCTAGCCCAGGCCGGTATGAATGGGGCACCAGGGGGCCCCCCTCACATGGACAGAGTTAAGTGGCCTTGGGGGTCTCTTTCCTCCCCCAACCACAAGGTCCAATTTCCTTGCTCGTGACTCAAGCCCCTGGGTTAAGTATTAACCATTTCAGGAGTTCCTCTTTCTAAAAACACAAAACTCTTTTTTTAAATGTACATGCTACTCTCTACTTTAAAAACCTTCCATGATTCCCATGGCCTGTAGAATAAAGCCTGGGGTCCTCAGGTGAGCAGCTGGGGACCTTCGCCACTGGTAGGCTGTGCAACCATGGGCAAGTACCTTGCCCTCTCTGAATCTCCATGCATTCTTTATCCCCTGCCCTCAGGGATCTGGGTGTGGACAGACTCCACAACTCCACAGGATGCCCACTCTAGTGGCAGGTCCCTCTGGGCACAGTGGCTCTCCAGCCTTCTTATACTGCCCCTATCCTCCTTTCTTGACAGCCCCCAAACTTCTGCTTCCTAAAACCACCTCATTGGAAGGGTCCATGCTTTGGTTAGGGTCCCAGTTCTTCTGATGAGCAAAATCCTACTCATCTTTCCAGGCCAGCCCCAAATCATCTCTTCTTTGAAGCCCTCTTCTTGGGAAACAAGCCACTCCTTTATGGGATCTCCTTACCCCAGCATGGCCCTAATCACACTGTCTTACAGTTACCTTGCTGCCCATTCCCACCCCAGCTCAATCCAGAGCCCCTGGGGCCAAGGCCCTGCAGTGTACATCTCCATGCCCTCTGGTGCCTGCCACTGTGCCTAGCTCCAGTGCTTTGCTCCCCTCACCCCCTGCTCCTGGGAAATAGGCAGGGTTCTCACCCCAGTGCCTGCCCCAGCAGCTCAGGGAAACCATCTCCCCTTCCTCTGGCCACCTGAACTGCTCTGGGCTTCAGTTTCTTCCTCTGTGAAAGGGGGATAACAACAACCCTCAAAAGGCTATGGAGAGAACAGACTAGATTAATGTCACTAAAGAGCTTTGCACAGGCCCTGGCACACCCCAAGGATCTGTTCATGGGGCCCTCTTTTGATGTCATCTGTGACTGGGTGCCAGGGGTCTAGAAGGTACTGCTGGGGCCCATGACCTGCTCCAGGGGCTTGAAAAGGGCTACAGTGAACACACATAAGCCCTGACTGGGGAACCCACCCTGGCCATGGGCCTTTGGGGCTGCTTAAAGCACCCCATGTGGACTGTGCTCCCTCACCCTAAGGTCTCCAAAGGCTTGGCCATAGGAGCAGATTTCAGGGAGCAGAGCCCCTTGGCAGCAGGGCTCCCACCTGATGACACTCTGGGAGCTCATGGGGGAAGGAAGAGGGTGCTGAGTCAGCCCCCTGGACGGCCCTGTGCAAAGAGTTCTGACCAGGACTGGTGAAAGATGGGAAAGTCACCTCACCCACCTACAGTGGGTCAGGGCACCAGTGCGCCCACAGGGAACAGGGTGATGTGTGTGGGAACCCTGTCTAGAGCCACCTCCAGCTAGTAAGATTTCCCACGTGGCCAGAGGTAGCCTTAAGGCCCAGGGATGGGATGAAGGTTGAGGAAGGGATGACAGCCAGGTCCTGGCCAGAGAGATCCATCTGACATCAGCTGAGCACTTCCTGTGACTCGCAGCAGTAATGCAGGGTCAGTGTCACTCGCATTCCACAGAGAGAGCAAGCAGTGGTTAGAAGAACACACCCTAAACACAAACTGCATCTGCGTCCTGGCTCTGCTACGTACTGGCTGTGTGACCTTGGGCAGGTTAACTTCTCTGTGCCTCAGTTTCCTCTTCTAAAATGGGGATAAGAAGAATTATCACTATGATAATTCTTAAATGAGTCATGCATTCATTTCTAGTTAAGAATGAGGAGTGAGACTCAGAGACTATTCTAACACCCTCCGAGGAGCAAGAGGCTGAGCAGGCTGGAGGCACAGGTCACTCCTCCTGCCATTCAGAGCCCACACCTCCTGCAGGAAGGTCAGAGTTAGAAGGGGTCTCAGAACAGGTCCACCAACCCCTTTA